GGGAGAGGGAGAAGCAGGCTCCCCGCTGAGCAGGGAGCCTGATGTGGGGCTTGATCCCAGGACCCTGGGATCATGACCTGAGCCGAAGGCAGACACCTAACGACTGAGCCACCCAGGTGCCCCTCCAATACTAGATTTCCATCGAGCATATAAAAGCTTTTGCTATGAAAGCTTTTGAAATCATTTAACAGATTATCAGACACTCTGAAACTCTTCTGTAACCTGTTTATATCAAAGTATGAGCATGTTTCATAAACGAACATCCATGATGATGAACTATGTATTATAAAAAAGTGAGTAGGTAAATAAATGAATACAGAGGCTAGTAACCTGGTTTTGACATAGTCCGCTGACATCTTATTCTTAGTATGGGTTAAAATGGTGTTCACAGGGTCTGACTTAGTTTCAGAGCATAAATTTAAATATATATTTTTTTAAATTCTGAGTTTCGTAGTAAATATTTGTATTGAACAGAATAGTATAGTAAATGGTAGATTTCTAAAACTGGGTTTTGAATGGTTGTACTTTGCCAACTGGGCATATTTTCCTAAAAGCTACTATTAACATATCTAGAAAGATTGAATTTGTGAGGATTTGGACCCTGCCCTGTGGTGTTTAGCATTAGCCAGTTTATGTGGTTTCTCAGTTTACATTTGTAGGGTCAAGTCTGAGTTCCTTGGTCTAATTATCCAATTTATCCTACCTCCTGGGGAGTTACCAGGCCAGCTCTTTGTATTCTGATTTTGTAGGAAGTGAGCATTAATTTTCTTGGTTGTAAGAAAACTATGAGATTACTCTTTGGGAGGAACATTTAATTGCTCTTTTTCATTTTTCTTAATCTTTCCCTGCTTAAATAATACTGAATTAGAAAACTGTATCTCAGGTTAAAAAAAAAAAAATCTAGTTAGGAAAGTATGTGCCTCTTTCCTAAGTCCTAAAAGAGAGTATATAATTTTTAGATTGTGTTGTTGTTGGCAAATTAATGTCACTATTTTGATAGAATGAAGATTAGAGAAATACATTAAGACACCTCTTCAGTAGTAAATATAGTAACCTTCTCTTTGGCCTAAATTCTATTTATTATGTTGTTTTTCAGGCCCTTTCTTTGGGCTCATGCCCAGCTTTATGCTTCATCCCATTTCCTGTCTATAGACATTCATCATGAGAAGCTACTGCTGCTTGTACAGTTCAGCTGATGTCGGTCCATCTCTTTGAGGTTATGCATTTTAGAGTCCTTGACCCCTGCTGATGCTGCATTCTAGAGGAGTGAAACGGATTTTATGATGCAAGGAATGAGTAATAGAATGTTAGAATCAGAAACGTCCTTGAGTTGACCTTAGCCAACTCTCTCACTTAACAGGTGATCTGAAGCCCAGGTTTGTTTAAATGACTGAATAGTCCAAGACCACATAGCTGTTAAGTGGTAGAGCAGGGACCAGAATTCTGGTTTTCTGCTTCTTTGCTGGGATATTTCCTCCTTGCCTTTTGTTAGAGGCCAGAGCTCTTTAAAAATTAACCCAGGACCAACTGATGAATTTATAGTGAGACACATAACTTGTACAGATCCACCGAGGGGCAGTTTTTGGTGGGTGTGTCTTCAGAAGGGGAATGAGAGTTTTGAGAGTCAAGGACCGACGGATACATAAAATGAAGGAGAACATCCATGCTTCTCTACAAACTTTGTAGTCTATAGTTGTGAATTTGGATACTCTAGCTCAGTGATTGCTAAATCTGGCTGCCCATCCTCAAGTGAAGGAGTTTTTAAAAATATAGATTCTGAAGGCTTTGGGAATCTGTTGTCAGAAAGCTCCCCAGGTGATTTTGATGGGCAAGCAAGCAGTTTTGGGAATCAGCCTTTTGAGGTATATAGTCAGTGGAGTTACCTGCATTGGAATCACTTGGGATGACTACCAGAAATGCAGCTCTCTGGGCCTTGCCCAGACCTACTGAATCAGAATCTTTGAAGTAGGGCCCAGAATGTTCCATTTACCTGGAAGTTATCCCCTACTTTTCCTGAACATTTTGCAGGGAGATAGAACCAGGATATTCCAGGTTTACCTGAACTCTGGCTGGAATTAGGTGGGAGAGTTGTTATAACTTCAGTGCCTGATCTACAGCAAACTGAGTTTCAGGAGCTGTCCCCTCCCTAGCGGTGTTTTCTGATGCGTTAACTCCTGGGGTGCAGGACTAGAGATGTTTAGTCATTAGGCTCTGTCTTTACTGAACACCTGACCTATCCCTGAAAGGGTGTGTGTGTGTGCACATGTGTAACGGGTTTTCAAAACTCCAAGATAGCTTGTTCTGTCATTGTTACTTTTCCTTTCTTTTAATAGAAGAGCTAGGTAAGACCTCAGGTAATGAGTGATGCTCTTTTTTATCTTGGTGTGATGTCTTCACTATTATTCTAGAAATTGTTGGAGGTGGGTCCTTTGCTGACCCCATCAGCTGCCAACTGGAATCTTTCAGACAAAAGGGGAAAACAAAGACCCAAACAAATACAAACTGTAGAGAACCCAGGG